AAAAAGGATTGTTTCTTTAACCATTGGTGCAGAAAAAATTGACAAGATGATTAGCATGAGACGAAGAGATGGTGACAAACGAGGCTTGGGATTTGAACCAAGTAATAAGTCTTCCACTGTGTCTAAAACAAAGTTTGTCAAATCCACTTCACCTATTGAACCTTCTGCCTCTCATGAAGTCAAGAAATTTATTCCAATTTGTCACTTTTGTGGAACTCGTGGGCACATAAGACCGAGATGCAATAAGCTTCGAAACGAATTTGTTCGTTCAAATTCTCATGGCATGGGTGGAAAAGTAAGTATCCAACATAAGATTTCAAATCTTATGAAAGAGGTAAACCGCTTATCCAAACTATCTTCTTTTCATTGTTTGCCGTCAACTAAGACAAAGTTAGTTTGGAGGAAAAAGGAAAATCATAATTGTATGTCTTCCTCCACTAATGTTGTGCATGAACCCGTTGCTTTAGAAAGTTTGGATCTTAAATGTATTGCTGCAAAACCCTTGGATAATCTTCGATTTGACACTCTTAGAAAGTCTTTAGGTATATGTGCTCTAGATTAATTTGGAGTCTATTGCATGCCAAAGCCTCTTTCATGTTTTATGATATTTCAATTAATTTCTGTGTTTATAAATCTGTCCAGCTCGTGCAAGGATTGTTAAGGTGTATCAATCCTGTAACTGTCTGAACGTATTTGTTGATCTTAGATTGGGCTCTGACATTGCACTATATTAAGAACTTACACTCTCAGCTTCACACAAAGGTTTCCATTGTCTTGGTGCATTATAAACTTCATTAAATGATCTATCCATCTATTTATTTTTATTTTGCACACCACACTCTTTTCCTTGAAGTCCTTTGAATATCTCTTATCATGCACTTGTCTCTCTTTGGATTGCCATAACACTACTGTGCGTAAGTTCTTGATCTGTTTATAAAAATAAAAATAAAAATTATAAATTATAAAAATAAAATAAAATAAAAAAAGGGTGTCAACCACTCATTGCTCAGTAACCGGGCCTCTTGTCTAACCAACGTCGAGGTTCGAGTCAACAGGTTGTGATGGTTTGCTATCCTTGCTTATCTTTGGAGCCTTCATGATTTGGATCAGTATTTCCCCAGGGGTGCTTCATCACCCAGTTGCCTCCAGTCATCTGACGTAAGCACACTGATTGACCATCCGTTACATGGATCATGTCGAAAGCTAGATAAAGTGAGCCACAAAATTCGTATTAAAAAATATATATATAAATTGATCTTCTTATACTTACTATGCACTTAGTGTTTGTGCAATCTTTGGTGGGATTCGTCTTGTGTGGACATATTTTTTGTGCTTAATTGAAAAAGAGTTCATTTAACACATTTGCTCCTTGATGGTAGACTCATTGATGCCTTTTTATCTTTCACCATGACTGTGGTATGCCTCTACTGTTCTCTGTGCGTTTGTGAGTCTCGTGTGCTGTCGTGTGTTTGTCCCTGACATGCTTTGCTTTACATGCGTTCAAGACAGCAAAGGTTTTGTTGCTTCTTTCATTCTTTACTCACAAACTTGGCATGTTTATGAATGGAAAATAATTATATCTTCAAGAGAACTTTGGGTCTGCATCTACAGTATGTTTTATATCTTGATTGTTTTGAGCTTTCTGTCTTGAGTGTATTGCTTTTGTTTTTGTATGTTTTGGTTCTTAACAACTTCTCATTATTCTTTTTAGTTCTCTATTTTCCTGTCGCTTATCCAAAAAAAAAAAAAAAAAAAAAAGAAAAAATTTCTATTTGTTTTCAAGATAAAGCCTCTTACATGCTTTATTGGTCATTCTCTATGTCTTTATATGTTGGGAATGCAATCTGATTTTTTTTATTTTTTATTTTTCTTTCCCTCTTATATATGCTCCCTTATGTTCATTTTTTGCCCTTTGGATTTTCTGACAAAAAGGGGAAGAGATTGTGTTGTGGAATTAAGGGGGAGTTGTGTTGTAATTCTGCTTTGAATTACATTTCTTCTCCCACATGCTTCACTGGTTTTGTTGTTTCATAATGTGCAGGGATTCAGGGCTTCAAGCTTAGAATAAGAATTCATTTTTTAAATCCCATGTAATTTCTTTTGAGTTGTAATAGGTGTTTTGTCTAGGAAATGCCAAAGGGGGAGATTGTTAGTATGAAATTTGTATTGTCATTTCCTAGACTCTAGCATAGGTTGGGAGTTAGTGTGTGAATATCGTTTACTAGACGTTTTGGCGCAACACATTCAATCCCAGGTTTCCAAAGCATGACTTGACCGATATGAGGAATCTGATTTCAGGTAAATCATGACATAATCATGCATTCATTATAGGATTCCTAATTTGAGTTATTTTCACTCAAAGTATTTTTATCTTAATCTTATTTTTAATAGGATTAGATTTTATTTCCTAATATTATTTCCTACTTGTTTGGGCTTATTAATTTGTGAGGTAGATATTGGTTTAGAAGATGGGCTGGAGTAGAAAGTCCTCTCATCGTGCATTAGCTGGCTGGCATGAATCACATGGCATGTAAATTGAATCAAAAGAAATATTCTTGCTTGAATAGTTTGTGTGGTCTTTTGTTTGTTGTTGCTAACTAGTTTTCATATTGCATCAGGTTTTGGGTAGTAGTAGTAGTTGAATAGGATTAAAAGTCTTTGGTGAATGTATTTGGTTGTCACGTAGGTTCTTGAGTAAGAGAACCTGTTTTGAATAAAACCTAAGGGTCTTCTTTTCACAAGTGTAGCTTTTTAACGTATTGGTTTTCTTTGGAAATATTGAATCTGTTTTGCAAAAGCTGCTGTGCTTATTTTCTTAGATAAGTCATCAAGTGTTCCTTGTTTACTTGGTGATTTATCAAATCCTTTCTTCATTCATATTGCATACATATGCATGTCGGTGACTCATACGATTGAGGGCACCAAAACTGTGGTGGCGGTTTTCCTCCGGTGAGCTTGAAGCAATCGTGGCCAGTATTGCGTTCAACATAAGGAGTGTCGAAGATCATCCCGTGAAAGAAGTTGAGTTACGAAGAAGTCGGTAAACATTATCTAGAATGTGTCTAGGATAAGTGTGTGAGTACTTCTTGTAATCATCGTTCTATAGTGGATTTGTGTTGGACTGAGGAGTCCCGTGGATTTTCCTCAGAGATGGGGTTTTACCACGTAAAATAATTCTCTGCGTGTTCTTTTATTTTATGCCCATCACGTTACAGGATTGATAAGTCATATCAATCCTGCTACCGAAGTTTATTTTTATTTATTTGATTAGAATCTTAAATTGGCCTATTCACCCTCCTCTAGGCATTTTGAGTCATCCTGCAGGTATTTTCAATTGACTTAAATTCATTTAAAACACTTGGCCAAAAGAGGATCTCAAATTTCTTAGACTAGATAATTCATTGTGTTGCTGAATAAACTAGAAAGAAAATATCAATAAACTAGCATATATCAGAATCTCAATATAAAGATTGACTTAATTAGACACTTCATTTGACTTTGATTAACCTCTTTATATAAAGATCGTAGGAAGGCACACCCTATGTTCTCAAATTTTGATAAATTATTCGTCGACTAATTAAAAATAGTTGAATTCGAGAGTATTTTTCTCATCACTTTTAACTCAAGGCGTGTATCCTCATCATTCTTCTCAACACTTGACACGTGTCCATATACATAATCATGGTTCCATAAATACAAAGTAAAAAGTTAATCATGATTATGCTTATAGACACATGTTAATTGTTAAGAAGAGTACGTAGTAAACATACACCTTGACTTAAAGTGATGGGCAAAAATATTTCCATTGAATTCATGATGTCCCAAGAAAAAATCTTTTGTCCAGCTCAGAACATATCCGTACAAGAGAAAAGCAACAAATTACAATACAGCATCTCTTATCTAGAGGCCTTCTTGCCAAGCATTTTGCAAGTGGCCAAATTTTATGTCCCCCCCCTGATTTTGGACACACGGTCACCTTTTCACTAACCTGAATTGCTTGATGAATATTATGTATGATCAAAATGACTAAAATCTTAAAAAAGGCATGGTGGATGTTTAAATCCGAATAAGAAATGTGTAAAACGTATGGATAGATTCTAAATAGCCAAGATCTTTTTCCAGAGATATTGTTGAACAGTGTTTGTTGCTTCTTCTTTTTTTCTTTTCTTAAACGCCTTGCTCTTGTCTTATTGAATTAGTGTCGCCACAGTTTAGAGATTCTTGGGAACTAACTATGCCCAAAAGCAGAGAAAGAGACGGGGAAAATGAAAAAAAAGGAAAGATATACTTTGATTTCATTGTGCTTAAAAAGGCAATAGAATCAAAAGAATTGCACTTGCGACAAGGAGAGGCATGCTTGCTGTCTAGCAATATAACAAAAGCAATGGCAGCGTTCATGAGTTAGTAAGTTACTTAGTACCACTATTACTAAACGTTTCGGATCTATTCTATAATGTAATATTATAATCCAAACCATGCAATTTTAAGCTTATCATTTTATAGATTATTTCTGCAAAAGTTCATCTAAATCAATGATCGTTTAGCCACTTCATTATTATCGTGAAATTTGATAGGAGATCGTTAGTACTTGAATATGATAGGAGATCGTTACTCGGGAGGCATTTGTATTTCAAACATATCAGTAAAACGTTAACTTTATTTTATGTTAATAGATAACCTACATTACATGCATGTAACTTATAATTAACGTTGCATGGCTACCATAAATAAAAAGAACGAAATATCCTATGAAACTCTCTAGAACGACAAGTAATGTTACGCATATGGTCTGGCTCGCTCCACATCATAGCACACTGTTAACAATTAATTACACAGAGATGATTAAGTTTTGAGTCGAGAGTCTATAAATACCAACGAACTTTGCACTTGTTCAAGATCATATTTCTATATGTATACCAAACCAAAGTGAGAATAATATTGGAGCTCTGATTTTCTCTCTCCTTCCACCTCCCTCTGGTCTCTGGACTTGGAATCCCATCATGTTTCCTAACGTGTTTACTTGGTGCTCGCATCCAGAAAGTTCAAGGTAAGGTAACCTATACATATATATATATATATAGGAGAAACACTTTTATCTCTTTAATATAATACGAGTAAGTGTTTCTCTTATCCTGAATGTAAGTGCATTAGCTAACTAATTATATGAGAAGTGATGAGATACTAAGAAAACATACATAACACCCGGGATAGGAGAAACACTCACTTATCCTTGATGTAGGATGTACAAGTGTCTTTTCTATCCCGCATATAAGTGCATCAGTTAACTAAATCATACGAGAAGAGAGATAGAGATAAGGATACCTTACGCTCAACCATTGCAGAATGCATAGTAAGGAAAGTAGCATTTTCGTGTGATTTTTGTTTTTTGATGACATGAGGGAAAAAAACCCCAAACAGAACCTACACAACACAAACTAAACAGGGCCTAGAGACCCCAATCCTATCATCAACCAAAGCCACTTTAGCCCAAAGAGGCACCGAGTCAAACCAACACACGCCTAAATCCAGATTATAGCTACCATTACCAAGACAGTTTGCCAAGCAATTCCACTCCCGATTGAGGTCCAGATTTTGGTGTGAATTTTTCAACCATTGCAAGAGTCAGGAAAATGGCATTTTCAACGTTAAAATTATTTTATCTTCTGGACTGTCCACGAATCCCTGTCCATTTTCCATCTCTTGATCAAATTAAAAAGGAAACTTTTCCATAGTCAACCGTCAATCCAAATCCGTCCCGTACACGTGTCCTTTTAGACTACATGTGTACCGTAGCCGAGCACTTGTCCATTTACACTCTCTTTCTTCACATGCACATGCCCTCCTATCCTCCAGAGTCACACACACACTCAACCACCACCACTGTGCTCATAACTCGAGATAAACCTGCGTTTTTGAGGCCCTAACGCCGTTTATTTTCCGTTCACTCAGAAAGAACAAGAACGCCACCGCAGTCACCGGAAACCGGGACAACCTGTACTCCGTTCCGTTTCACGGGGATCCGTTGCCGGGGAAGCATAAGCAAACAAGATTGTCTGTGCGCTCCGACAGGTCAGTCAGTGAGCTTCATTATTTTATTGTTTTTAATTTAAATTATTTTCAGCTCTTTTATTAATTAATTAACTAATAATGTAATAATTAATGATAAAATTTGCGGGAGATTAGATGGGTTAAACTTGCTATCCCAAACGCGCTGGTGGCGCTTTCCTTATCCTGCGCCCCCACCCCTTATGCTTTCTCTTTCAAAGCGCTACTCTGCTACTGAGAGAATCTGATCTGTCTGTGTGTGATTGCAATTGGGTTTTCAGAGGCCGAGAGGTACTAAAGGCGAGGAAGAAAGAGGAGCAAATGGCGGGAAAGGTTTCGAATTTCTCGGATCTGATTCAGCGAGTGGCGGCTTCTTGCTTGCTACACCCTCTCGCCGCCGGCCGGCACAATCCTGGCAACTCGCCGGTGAGTCGACGCGGTGATGACGAGGAGGATGAAGCGTGCGAGAACGAGAGCTGCGACGAGCATGACGAGGACGACGAAGAGGAAGAAGATGAAGGTGAGATTGGAGACGGAGGTTTAGAGTTTAGCGCTCGGGAGGATCGGGGGACGTCGACGAAGACGAAGAAGGAGGTGATGGAGATGGAGATGGCAATGAGGGAGGTGTTCGACGCCGTTTCGGAAATGAAGAAGGCGTACGTCAGCCTCCAAGAGGCCCACAGCCCGTGGGACCAGGAGAAGCTCAGAACAGCTGACGTGGCCGTGGTGGGTGAGCTGAGAAAACTCGGGGTGCTCAGAGAGAGATTTCGAAGAAGTCGCACCGCTGGCGGCGGCGGCGGAGGTGGTGGAGTAGTAATGACGGCGAGTACATTGAGAGAGGTGGTGGCGCCGTACGAGGCGGCGGTAGAGGAGCTGAAGAGAGAAGTGAAGTCCAGAGAAGTCGAGATCCAAAACCTCAAGGAGAAGCTAAACGGCGTCGTTAACATCTCCCACTCTAAGAAGGGCAAGTCTCTGTCTAGGAGGAAGGTCGGCTGCAGCAGTCAAGCTCAAGGTACTAAAGTATCTACCTGCTCTGTCTTATATTCCAAAATGACAATTCTACCCTTGTTAACGTTTCTGTAATTACAGTCGCAGTAGCTCCGGCGCCTGAGCTGTTCGAGGCGACGATGAGTCAAGTGAGAGAGGCATTGAAGTCGTTCACATCGCTGCTCCTCTCTCTCATGCGCGGGGCCCACTGGGACATCGCCGCCGCCGTCCGATCAATCGAAGCCGCCACCGCTACCGCCATCACCGCCGGATCGTTCAGCACGTCGTCGATCATCGCGACGCAAAACGGCAACGCCAAGTACGCGTTGCAGTCGTACATTTCACGAAAGCTCTTCCAGGGCTTCGACCACGAGACCTTCTACATGGACGGCAGCCTCTCCTCGCTGCTCAACCCGGACCAGCACCGCCGCGACTGCTTCGCGCGGTACCGGGACTTCAAGGCCATGGACCCCACCGAGCTGCTCGGAATCCTGCCCACGTGTCAGTTCGGGAAGTTTTGCAACGCCAAGTACCTGGCGATCGTTCATCCCAAGATGGAGGAGTCGTTGTTTGGGGACTTGGAGCAGAGACGACATGTCGTAGACGGAGGGCACCCGAGGAGTGAGTTTTACGGGGAGTTTTTGGGGCTGGCGAAGGCAGTGTGGTTGCTGCATTTGCTGGCGTTTTCGCTGGACCCGGCGCCGAGTCAGTTCGAGGCGAGTCGAGGAGCCGAGTTTCATCCGGGTTATATGGAGAGTGTTGTGAAGTTTGCGGGCGGGCGGGTTCCCTCGGGTCAGGTTGTCGGGTTTCCGGTGAGTCCGGGGTTTAAATTGGGGAACGGGTCGGTGATTAAGGCCAGGGTTTATCTGGTAAACCGGAATTAGATATGTTAATAGTAGTATTAGGTTGCTAGTGAGTGAGTAGTGCCTAATGTTATTTAAACTTGTACCTTTGTGTAATGTTTAGCTGTGTCACTGTCACTGTGGTGTGTGATATAAAAATGTACCTTTTCTTAGAATCGGTCTTCTGCACTTTTTAGAGATAAATATTGCCTTTAATAATTGCATATGGATTATTATCTCATAGCCTATATATAACAAGATGAAAGAACTACGCCACCGTCAATGACTTATAGCCGTTGATGTATGCAAGGTTTCATGCTTCAATATTTAGAAATTAGAATCACTAATATCGTACCATATTTATCGATTACATTACATTATTGTTAATTACATCATAAAACTCACTTGTATAGTTGGATCTCGTGTCTATTAAAATGTCGTCTATAATATGGTTAGAAAAGAAAATGAGATCGCTTTAGCATTGCTCCAATATGTAAATGTTTTAGGCAATGGAGTCACCAAGACACCTACTAAGATGATGTCACAAGAATAAGAATTATCTGGTATCCATTCAAATGGCATTGTAATAAATTTCCGGATAGTAAATATTATGTCACTATCCGGTACAGTGGAAGGGAAGTAGCTTCCCACATAGAAGGGTACAATGCAATGATGCCTTCTAAACCTTTCATATCCTCTCCAATGATACAATGATCAATGATGTAAAAATACTATGCATAAAATGGAAAAGTAAAAGAAATCTTGCAGAGGGGACAAAAAAGAAAAAATAAAGGATCTTTAACAATTGAAGAGGCAATTCCCAAGCAAAAGTTGTGTCTTCACGGAAACTCAAAATCAGGAGAGCAGATTCATACCCTGAAAATATTTTTCGCCTGCCACGGGAGAACAAACAAGCAAATAAGCATCATGACAATTTATCAGTAGGTTTCGATTAAACGAAAACTATTACTGTGATCTTACTTGCTCTAGCACTAGAAACATAATCACATTCCAAGATCCCAGCCGACCAAAGTTTGGGAGGAACCCTTTATAAAAGGCCAAAAATCCCTGCAGTATATCATCTGTCATGAGTTCCATAATATTTAAGGAAGCTGGTGACAAAAATTTCGGCCTTTTTACTTAAATGAAATGCTTTGAAGGGTAATGACTATGAATGGTACAGCCAGAGTGGAAATACGGATCAAGACTGAAATAAACCAACATACCTCATACTTCAAAGTTTTGATGAAGCAGTCAAAGGTGTTTTTGTAAGTAGAATCTCCCATCATTCTAGATTTCACCTGGAACATAACAAGCAGGGCATACAACCCAACATTTCCTTACTAGCTCATCCATCAAAAACTATATAAAATTGTTTTGTACCATAAGAAAATGTCATCACAATCTTTCACTAGCACACCCTTGTTACAGCCTGCACCGAACAATATGCAGGTTATGCTACTATAGCAAAACCAGCATTCCATGATTTTTAAAATTTTGAGACTAAATATAGCATGCAATGCACAGATCTTTTTTTCTTCTTTGGTTGGAATATAGCATGCACAGATCAAGCGTCCAATTTTCAGTACCATATTCATCAGATAATCTTCAATATTTTCATTTCCAATGCTATGCTTTACAAGGCAGCATGAGAGAGAGAGAAAAATAGAGAGAATGAGTGAACGAGAGATTTATCATTTCATAACTTCTCTCTAAAATTCTGTTTTATGTTTACACTTCAGCTGTAATTTCCATATGTTAATGAATTAATATTGAAATTTCAGTTCTAGAAAGCCAAGATCAATATCGAAGTTGAAATTAAAAGGTTGATGATCTGCAATGAAGAATTTATTGTTTCAAAAATATCTCTAAAGTTTCCTCTCTTTTTTTTGGCAATAGTGCATTTGCATTTCACTGTAGTTGCAATTCAAACCAATGTATTTATTTACGGCCTTATGAAGATAAATTGGAGTACCAAACTTATTTTTACAACTAATTGGTTGCAGAATGCATACCACATCAACAGGAGAGCCAATACAAACTGCAAAAAAACCGGCACCCAGACCAGCTAGGAGATGAGTGAAAATATTGTCCATGAACCCTGGAATGTTCAAAAGCGTCTGCATAAGTATGAAGAATCAGGACTCACTGGGATTTATCATCCTAGATGTAGAAAATTCGAAATCACTTGCAACTTATAAAGATAATTGAACTTAAGAGACGGAATGCTCTGATATTACCTCCTTTACTTGATCATAACTGGCTAGTTCAGCAGCATTTATAATAGCATTTCGTGCTACATTTGGCCCCAGCCCAGTCCACAGGGCCCCTACTCCTTCCTGATTATTTTGACAAATATTAATAAACAAAGATGAATAAGCTGATGTGAAAACAAAGTTAAAAAAAGGTAAACTAAAAACTTTGCTCTACTTTAAGTAAACTAACCTGTCTCACTATAGTGAAATAAGCATCTACAGCTCCAGAATAACGCCTAGGAACTCCAGCTGGCAATTTTCCTTCAGCTTGAAGTCGAACCTTCACAAGGTCCGTTGGATTAGCCACTATGATTGCCAGAGCACCTGTCAATACAAAAGTTTGTGATACGAGTATGCTGTTAAATTTATTTTTTCAGTTGAAAAGGCAAGGAAGATAATGGCAACATACGCAGAGTATGTTAGTGAATAGTGCGCAATACAATTAATTCTAGCAAGATGGTTGCCAAATATACTAACCAGTCAATAGAGCAGCAAGTATTTTGTGGAACAGAGGAATATCTCCAACAAAAGCACTGCCAACAAGGAAAATTTTGACCTGTTCAACATGCAGTTTATGGATATGCAGAATGTGTCACAAATAAAGCATTTAACAGGAATTCATAATTGCATTTGTGAAAGAAACATATCTGGAACTCACAGGATCATATAACCCAATCCTTAAGCCTCCGTAAATACACTGGCGTTGTAATCCTGGAATTATGCCATTCCAAAGTGCTGCTAAACCTTCTTCCCTAGCAATGGTAGCCATAGTACCGAACAAGCCCCTATAGTTCTGTGAGCCAGTTGCATCCCCCACAACTGCTTTCTTTTGGAGCTGGAGCCTGACTTTAGCAGTGTCTAAAGGAATGGTGCAGAACTGCACAATATCCATGCAGACACCAAACGGGAAGAATCTCTTAAATGTTATATACCGAGCAGCAATTGTTACAAATACGCATATACACAAGACCTTATCAGGCTGCCAAGCATCAGCTAGAGTCCTATATCGTCTTAATGCTGCCAACTCATTTGAATTGTAGCTTAGCATTAACCTTATAACCTAATCATATCATAGTTAAAGGGTTGTAATCAATATTCCCACTTTTGCACCCTACTTAATTTTTTAGTTTCTTTCAGTTAATCCACATTATTATACCAGGACACGCTGTCAAACACAAACAAGAAGCAGCTACCCTTACATTTTAACATTCAAGAATGCTACAAACTCAGAATCCAAGTAAAATTTAAACCCATAAACCATCAAGGAAACATATTGACATTATGCTAACTACTTTCCACAAAATTTAACAACAAGCATTGATCTTTATATAAAACTGGCATAACCCAAGTAACAAAACACATTTATTAAGCTAAAAAACAGAAATTAAAGCCAAATAATCATCAAACAGCTAACCCAGTTAAGCATATTTCTTAACTAAGAAGTAAAACTAATAAATCAGCTGAAAATATACAGAGGCATTAACATAAACAGAAGGATCAACGATACCTCAGCGAAACAGGCAGCGAAAGCACTGCACAGGAAAGTTTGCAAGAATGAGATCTCAGACCTGGGGCTGAGATCTGCCATTGGAAGGTGCAAAACGAAAAGCTCAGAAGCAAGGATTGGGAAAATGGGTAGGCAAATTTTTGGTTGAGTTGAAGAGAGGGAATGGCGTTGAGGTTATAAAGAAGGTCGATAACGAGTAATTATGAAGGAAAGGTACATGGAAGAAATAGTATGGCCTTCTTTTTGGTCTCCAATCAAAGCTTTGCAAAACTGAGTTTTTCACTCCTTGCTATTCTTGTCTCTCTTGTCGTCATCGTTTCAATTATTTTAGGGGGTTAAGTGATTATGGGTTCTATTAGTTTAATCCTTCTGAACTTCAAATTCTTCAATGTGATTTGTTGATGTGTGATTATTGGCTTTCCTTTGCATTTTAAATTTTTTGTAATATTTTTATTTTCTTAGAATTTATTTTTGTAGACCAATTCAAAAAATATTGAAATATCAATTTACATTATCAAATTATGCACACAATTCAACAGATTTTTCAAAAAAAGGTATGCACACTGTAAAAAAACCCATCATAAGGAGCTTGCATATCAAGTGGTTATAATCATTTACTCATGTACGGAGTCTAGATTCAATTTTTCCCTCCTCCAATATCACTCGCAATTTTTCTCATTTAGTTGCTTATCATTTACATTTGACTTTTTGGTCTTAATATCCAAAGAGAATCTTCTGTGTAATATACTTTATACATCATGATAAATTCTTCATCTAAAAAAACCATGATAATGCTATTAAAATAAAACGAAGAAAATTAATTCAGTGCTGTTTTTTATTTATTTATTTTCGACTGTTTTCTATTTATTTTCTGTCATGTGCTGAGAAAGGGACTCGTTGATGTACATCAACCGAAAAAAGTAGTGTGGGGGAAAGGTACGTAGTCACAATGCTAAATGTGGAACTTGACATATTGCATCGTCAATTTGTTCAGTGTGTACTAACTGGTAATTACCTCCCCCAACAACATTTTCAAAATATTTTAATCGTAACTTTGATGTTTGTGGGATGACTTATAGCTCAAGAAATAAATTATAGTTTAATCTTTGTTGTACTTAAATGTTGAAGTGGCTAATTCTTATCGGTGGATATCAACATGTCAGTTGGGTTGGAGTAGCTAGAGGTGACGTGTTCGATTTCATCTTCCCCTAATATAAGATTATGTCATTAAAAAAACCCTCGAGTTACATAAAAGAAAAAGTTAAAAAACGTAAAAGAAAAGTGTATTGACTTGCAGATCAATAGTCTCAGATTCTCAATATCATAACACTTTGATAGTGAGTGTGAGATTTGACTATCGCTTTGTATTAAAAAAAAACAGAAAAAAAAACTTGGGCTGGGCTTGGATCCCATACAGCCCACGATTATGTTCCGGCCCAATCTTGAAGGTGCAGGAGCATTTAAGCTGGACCATCAGAGTAGGCAAGATATCCTCCAAGTGGAGCGCGGGAACACAATTCCACGAAATCCCGCCAATTGAAACCCAAAATTCCCAAACACGGTTCATTTCCCTCCTCCACTATATAAACCCTTGCCCCATACCCCACCCACTCAAACCCTCAAAATCTCCTGCACCTATTTTCCCCCCAAAAGGAAACCCTAACCCCAATCAAGAATCCGTACACCTCCACGACCCGGAAACGATGTTGGAGCTCCGACTGGTTCAGGGGTCGCTGCTGAAGAAGGTTCTTGAGTCCATCAAGGACCTCGTCAACGACGCCAACTTCGATTGCTCCGCCACTGGCTTCTCCCTCCAGGCCATGGATTCCAGCCACGTGGCGCTGGTGGCGCTGCTGCTCAGATCCGAGGGCTTCGAGCACTACCGCTGCGACCGCAATATCTCCATGGGCATGAACCTCACCAACATGTCCAAGATGCTGAAATGCGCCGGAAATGATGACATCATCACCATCAAGGCTGACGATGGCAGCGATACTGTCACCTTCATGTTCGAAAGTCCCAGTATGCTCCTCTTCTTTCTTTCGTTTCATTTTTCTGTTCAATTCGTTTTATTTTTGCTGGTAATGCTTGTTTGTTTTTCTATTAACTTTGAATTTTTGTAAATATTGTTTTTAGTTGTTGAATATGATAAATTGTTGGAAAACAAAAGAAACATGACATGCAAGTCTCGAAATTGAAGCCAAACTGAATTTGATAGATGTCTCATAATTATTTGGCATGAAAATTATCGCCTGATAGTGTTTGGTTGGAAATTATGGCCTTTCTGTTAAGTAAGAATTATATATCATCACTATAAAATGTTGTATAAAGATAAACTGGATTTGTTTCTGTTAACTTGATCTTGGCCGAGGTTTATCATTTCATACCTATCTAGGTTCTGATGTAGAGTTTTGTTTACATGGTCCTGCCATGGTTGTTCTTTACTTCAATGCAAGGTAGTAATTACTGATATTGATTGTAATGTGGAGGGTTTGGAAATTTGTAACTATTGATATTGAGAGAAAATAAACAGAAATGATGAAAGTTATAATGAAGTGGACAGAAAGAAATGTAGGGAGACATTATCCAATAGTGGTAATTGTTAGAAATGTTTTAAAGAAATTTTGATTATGTGACGGCTTGTTACCATGCTTCAATGTTGTTTTCTAATTGATGTATTTTGTTCTTTGGGTAATGGATCATAGCGCAAGATAAAATTTCTGATTTTGAGATGAAGCTGATGGACATTGATAGTGAGCACCTTGGAATTCCGGAGGCAGAATACCATGCTATTGTTAAGATGCCTTCAGCTGAGTTTGCTAGGATATGTAAAGACCTCAGTGGCATTGGTGATACAGGTACTGTTAACTTTTGTCTCCTTGGAATATTCATGATTCTCCAAATTTGATGTTGATTTTTGAGTAATGGGTTGATGTTGCTTGCAGTTGTGATATCTGTGACCAAGGAAGGTGTGAAGTTCTCTACAAGAGGGGATATTGGCACTGCTAACATCGTCTGTAGGCAGAACACTACAGTGGACAAGGTATTGGTGTTGTATCCCTGTAATTATGTGACAGTGTCCTCACAAAAACATTAATGTACAAGCTGTAGGGTTATTGGTATTGCAATCCAATGTCTAACTCTGTTTCTTTTCCTTTTTAATTTTTGGGAATTGCAGCCTGAAGAAGCAACAGTTATTGATATGAATGAGCCAGTTTCATTGACATTTGCTCTGAGGTACATGAATTCCTTCACAAAAGCGACCACATTGTCGAACACAGTTACAATCAGCCTGTCTTCTGAACTTCCGGTTGTGGTTGAGTACAAGATTGCAGAGATGGGCTACATCAGGTTCTACTTGGCTCCTAAGATAGAAGAAGATGAAGATGAGACGAAGCCTGAAGTTTGAGTGTTATGCCACGGCAGAGGCATATACTTGTTTGTTTACTTGAACTGCACGGTTTAAAAATCCATGTAGAGGATTTTTTTTCATATACGCTTCGATCCGAGGTTTTCCTTGCTTTCTCTGTGACTGAGTTGGCAAATCTGTAGTTTAGGAATCTTCAAATCTATTAGGTTCTGTGTTGTAGGTTTTTAATTGAAAACATTGTTTCTCATCTCCTTTTCCTTTTTTAGGGTTTGTGTTTGATTTGTGGTTATATAATCAAATGAACTCTGCAAATGCTCACTGATAATGGTGCCTAGTAGCTATGCGAAGGTAAAAGTTTCATGTATAACTAAATCATCATATCATCTTTCATTGATTTTCAAAATTGAAGAATGATATACAGAATTAGAACACCAAATCCTGCTATGGCTTAAAAGTAAATGATTCAAAATCCTCTGTTAACAACCCTAGAACGAACAGCAATAAAATTTAGCTAGCACATCAGGGATCAAGCTGGCAAAGCAATAAAAACATGTCCTTTCGGATTGGACAGACAAGCCCTCTTCCTCTCTTTTGCATAAAAATATTTTGAGAGGGTGCAACTCAAAAAATCTGCTGCATGAACCCATTAAAAACTCTGGGTTAATCTCATCTACTTCGTTTCTTGGCTTCGCTGTAGAGAATGACTCCTGTTACTGTGAGAGAATAACCAAGCATCCCAGTCACTGATACAGGATTTCTAAATATCAAAATTGACACCACCACAGCAACAGCTCCTTTTGCATTTCCCAACACCTGGAAGAGCCCCAATATCTCAAATTAGGGTTCAAATACAATGAACCAAATAGGAACCACATTGAGCAAGAATGTCACAAACAATATAGGAACCAAGGAGAAAAGCTTCTGTAGGTGGGCCTATCTATGCCACGTGATAGAGCTGAGTATGAGAAAGTCTAGTTAAAGAACAAAACGTGTTTGATCATCAATTTCGATCACATTCTATATTTTAAATTACTACTCAACACTGTCACGTGACATGAACAACCTCACATAAGTTTTTCTCAAAACGAAGATAGCATTGAGATGAGAATCGACTAGGTAACATTAAGTAGGCAAACAGACACGCATTTGTCCCACATTTAAGCTTTGTTTTGGATAATGCATTTGTGGCAAATAAATTCAAAATTGCAAAGAAGAGGGATAATATTTTTACCTGGAGGGTCAAGGCACTGGTGTGTTTTGTTACCAAGAAATTGGTCAAATTGACAAAATATGCGAGAGCAGAATTGAATACTAGATACCATACGATGGACACATCATCTCTTGCAAGTGCAATTGTGATCCCAACCACATCCTCTTCCATATAAAGTGCTGCAGGTAGAAGGAATGCAACAGCTACAGGACCCATGTACATGAGGAGGTTCATAGAATTAAGCTTTTCCCTGATAAAATAATTAAAATTGGAGATGGCTACTATCAATCAGCTGATCAATCAGAACATCGCATTAATTGATAGAATTGTTCAAAATCTTACCCTTCAGAAGACAGCAATATCCCTTGGAGCACTGACTTGAGTGCCCTTGCTGCTGTAGCACCAACACACATTATGAATCCAAAGACATGAAAACTTGGTTCTCCCTTCAGTCAATGGAAAGAGAAAATTATGAATATTCAGTAATGAAATGATCAACAGCTCTCACTCTCACAACTTCAACAACAAATATATATCTAACCAAACAAAATCCTTGCTTTTAATGTTTTTGGCAGTGAGAAAAAGCAAACAATGAGTACAAATTTACACAGTTTATACTAACCCCTCAGAAATTCTTGCATCCAACGAATGTATATAACATAACGTTTTTCTTTCAATAACCCTCTCTCGTAATGATCATACAACCAACGAAATTTTGAGATAATATATTTTACGTCTTAACTGTAAAAAATTAAGGAATTTATGACAATGAAATCAATAAAAAGAAGAAGAAAAGAAACCCTTAAAATTCATGAAGCAAGAACGTCAACTATATTACACAAAATGAATACAACCCAATCAGGAAAATTAATTCATCAAAGGGAGGTCCAATCCAAAAAAAAGGAGAAAAGGGCAACATTGATAATCACAATAAATTTAAAGAAAAAAAATTAAAAATGAAGGAGCTGTTCTTACCCCACTGGCAATAACAACACCGGTGACAACCGGTATGAGAGTAACATAGGTGAGCCAGCCCTCTTTCTTGAGGGTCATAAGATACGCGAATACCGCGGTGAAAAACGGCGTCGTGGCGCCAACAGCCTGGTTAAACGAGACGGCGAGATACCGGAGCGAGATGTTCCCGCCAACGACGGACAAACAGAAGATGAAACCGAGGGAAGATATCTTGAGGAACTGGACACGTGACTTGATGCTCTGCATGGGCACCACCTTGATCCATGAAATGGCTACGTAGCTCAGGAGAGTGCAAGCCAGCATGTGGCAAAGGGTCAAGAAGATCGGGTACTTGAACCCGTAATTGCTCAGCAAAAACTTGTTCAACAACAAGACTCCGATGTTCGATGAGTACCAGGCTGTTATTAATCCGACCGTGAAAACCTTGTCTGACATTTTTCTTTTCAGCTTTTTTTCGTTCACAAGCTTAAATTTTTTGGTTTCCTTGTATGTTGGAGGAAGCAAAGGGTTGAGTTCATGGATGTTGTTGAGAGAGAGAGAGAGAGAGATTTGATCACAGGGTGGGATTGGAGGTGATAGCAATGGAGGAGATGGATGTAATGATGGATCTAGGGAAGGTGAAGGGTCGATAGGACACAGAATTGGAACGTAGATTTCGAGCTTTAAAGTCGGAAGAGCATTTTGGTTCTTCACGTTTATTATGTTTTGGGTTTTTTCTTTGGATGTATGTTATAATTTCAGTATGAGAAATGTGACTGTAAAATGATAATTGCGATGGTGATCAACAGTTGGGATTCGTCCATGAGTGTGAAAACATATACAAGTTTTCGGTTAAATCAACGGTTGTTAGTCATTTTCCTCCTAGCAAATTTTGTAGGTCCATATGTTTCATGTCAGAAATATTAGATGAATATCTTTTGCTTTATTTCACCTGGCGGTATTAATGTTTGGAAATTAAACTAGTTTTGTCGATGGCTTCTTTAGTTCCAGATTTCTTTCACCTGACGGTCAGTTCACATGAGAATGGGCTTGGTTGTAAAGGACATGCAGCTCAAGTGGTTAGCAACGTTTAGCCCATCCCGCATGCGAGATCTTATATTTGGCTCTCCCCTCTGTGAATATCGCTTGTATAAGAAAAATATTCACAAGAGTTTTGGTCATTGTATGCCATAATGTCAAGCACAGCTCACAAAAATCATTGACAAGCTTACAAGAAAATCATCATTATATGGCCAGTACAACATGCACTCTACAATTTGCCAACAAAAGTTCAGATCCAGGGGAAATTTACTCAAAACTGTTCCTTTTTTTCTCTCTCTGCAAATTGTGTCTGAAAATTTCATTTGGCTAAAGGACCATGTCTAGAACTTGGCAAACTTAATTACACATTTCTTGATGCTCTCCATCTCTTCATATAACAAACAAAGAAAAAACACTCGATAACAAAAACAATGAAGCAGAGGAACCAGTGAGCGGTGGATCATGTTGATGACTATTCATGATGTGCACAGTAAGAGCCCCGAACTTTGAATGAAGAATATGAGGAGAATAAAATTGTGTGGAGGAAACCTGGGAAAATGATTAGGGTGATTCCCTCCAGTCTTCACCAGCATAAAATGCATTGTCCCCAAGTTCTTCCTCAATTCGAAGCAACTGTAAGAAACTTTGGCCAGTCAGTTTCAAATCATGGCTTACTTTGTAACAAGACATATATGGCGCTAAAAACTATAGACCTAGAGATAGTTGGACCTCTTGGAAAACTGACCATCTTTATCATATCAGCCCTATAGGGTAAGTTATTAGAAAGTAGCAGTAGCGAGTATAAGAATTGAAGAGTATAAAAATGACTTTTTTTAAAAAAAATTAAAAAAAGAAAATCAGAAGAAATGAGAGAAAAAACGAGAGGATGAAATGCATCATGGACACGTAAGTTATTTATAGTGTAGACAAATATAACAGTTGTATCGATTCAACTTGTCCTTGGACAATTCCATTCATAATTACTTGTTTCTATAGCATAAGCTAGGAAAAAGGTAACTGTCGTATATGGAATATCAAATACGGAGCTGCAAAAGTACTTCACATACTCTCCATACAGGATTGCAGAAAAATCTGATACCAAGAGCTTGTTATGCAGCTGATAAACAGAAGAACCATGGACATGATAAGTAAATATAAAAGTTGACCTGGTTATACTTAGCCAGCCGCTCGCCTCTGCAAGGAGCACCAGCTTTGATCTGACCCGTTGACAGACCAACGGATAAGTCTGCTATGAAGGAATCTTCAGTTTCACCACATCTGTGGGATGTCACCACTCCCCAGTGCGCATCCTTTGCCAACTTCACCACTTCAATGGCCTCGGAAACCGTCCCAATCTGGTTGATCTAATTTTGAATCATAGTAATATAGTATTAAAAATAGCTCAATACCATAGAACAATAACAGAATATACACCTAAACCAAATTTTCTTATTTCATCCAAATACAAGCTAAATACCTTTACAAGAAGAGCATTACAAGTGGACTCCTCTATTGCTCTCTTAATACGTTTTGGATTCGACATTATCAAGTCATCTCCAACTACCTGCAAAAGCACCAGTCTTCAAGTTAAAACATCTAGCCATATCTCGGGTGTAAAATAGAAAGATCCTTAGGGAATCTGATAGACAACTAACTAATTTATATAGGGAATCTCCTAAATTACTCAGCCATGGTAACAGGCAAGCCTACCAAATTATTCTTATAAGTTAATCTTTACATCCAACAGGATTTGCAGTTACTACTACCTTAAATATTCACAAGGATGTAAAATAAGAACAGTTACAATACCATGTCTAGTTACTTTCTACACAATTCTCCATGAGGAGTATCAATGTCTTCTCTGGCCAAAGCTAATTCAGTCGAAGAATGCAAGCACCAGGACACAAAATAAATCACCAACAAGAAAAAATAAACAAACCTGACAAATTCCAAGACCAGAAAACTTTTTGGTGTGTTCCCAGTCCTCCTTATCAAATGGGTCTTCAATTGAAACAATTGGGTACTCTAACACCCCAAAAACAGGGGAAAAGAAGAGATAAAAGGTTAAGTCACAGAGAAAATCAAACACAAAAACATTGAGAAACTTAAAAAGAGATAATTATGTACCATTACAAAGTTCTTTATACATCTCAGTCATATCTTGGCCTGACTTGAAATTTTGTCCCGACTTATTTGCTGTTTTGTAGTCCAGGTCATACTTTGTACCTGTATCATGGGAAATAGAAAGCAAAATATCAGCATTTAAGTATATATGAGCTCGTGTTCTTTTTAGAAAGAAGATAAAATTCTAACCATTACTACAAGGTAATTTTAGCCTCAGCTTTCCACCAAGAATATATCGGATGTAGTTATTTTCGACATTTTCTTATGTTACAGAAAGACCAATTTTCAAGAAAGATCCATCACCTATGCAAAAGTCAGTAGCAGCAACATCAATTGCTAGTTTTATTTGCTCATTATAACCTGTTCTGCTGATCGCCTCTTTTACAAGATCCAAGACTTCTTTAATGCTGCCAAGAGATATAGAAAAATGATAACAATAACAAAAGGCATATCAAATAACCTTTTAGTAAATTTAACCTTTTCTTATAGGCCACAAAGTAACAACAGCCATTACAATTAGTTGTGCAAAGCTAATACAATCTTTAATGCATTGTAAGAGCTTGCAAGATGGTTGGTTTTCCTCTTTCGCAAGTTAGCTTTCATTTTTAGAAGGCAGTTTCAGGGGGACTCCCATAAGGTAAAGAAATTAAAGAAGATCACAGATCATAGAAAAAACACTTGCCTGGAGATGTTTGGAGCAAAACCACCATCTTCTCCAACATTACATCCATGTGCGCCATATTTTTCTGTAATAACAGCCTGTTCTTTTTACAAACAATAATAAACTATCAATAATAACGGGACATGGTGGCATCTCCTTGTTCACATGTACAGAGCAAAGTCCATTTGACCTTTAAGCAGCATGTGGTTAAATTACCGCTTAATAAAATTTCAAGTGGAAATTTTTTTTGCTCAAGTCCGTTACTTTTTAGAACATAACCATATGCTATAAAATTTGCAACATAAATTAAGGACAATTACTTTTAAAAAATGAGCAACTCAATAAGTCTCTCAAACTAGAACAGATTTTCACGTCACTAGGAGCAATACATTGGATATAATCTCAAAAGTTAAACAGTTGAGATGAAATACCTTCAAGTGATGATAGGTTTCCGATCCCATTTGCAATGCCTCCTCAAACCTGTTAGCTCCAATTGGGAGAACCATAATTTCCTGAATATTTAGAAGTCAACTTTAATTATAAGGACATGCTACACATTATTTGAAAGTGTTCATGTTAAAAATATTACAAACGAAATCACTAAACAGCCTCAGCAGGTTAAAACCAATATTATAGGATGGAAAAAGAGAACATTAAAGCGGTGGTTTCTGAAACAATCACATTCATGTAGTAGTATCTAGAAGTATCTAAATCGTGACTTCCAATGTAGTTAGATTCCAAGAACCAATGATTTTAAAATTTTAAATTCCGACCTTATTTTAAGTGAAAATATCATACTTTCATGATGTCAATACAAATACTCACAATAACAAAAATGGTGCAAATCTTGAAACCCTCTCCCCACATAAATCACAACCCAAAACAGAAGATTTGGAAAGAACATATCTAAACATTAAAGCTTACCAGAGCATACCTGAATGGCCAGATTATTCCCAGCACGCTTTCCCCCACTTATAACAGTGAAAGCAGGGACAGGCAGGGTCAGTTGTGATTTTCCAGAAAGGTCGGCAATATGTTTGTACAGTGGCACCTGATGTTTATCTTTTCTCAGAAACTTTGGGGGAAAAGAGTACACAAGTATTACCAATACTTAGAAAGTAATAATAGAAAAGAGTCATACGTCTTTTTGAGCAGCTCCAGCTTTGCATGCAGCAATTGACACAGCTAGTATGGCATTTACTCCAAGTTCACCCTGAAAGTTGATTTAAGAGTATAATAACTTTATTTTTTTCCCAAAAAACAAGAGAGAAAGAAAGAAGAAACTAAGAATTCTCCTTTTTCACTACTTAAGAGAAAGGACACAAAGTAGTAGTGTATGATGTGGCCAAAAAGGAAATCATAAATCCAAAAACTAAGTATATTCAGAAACTATTAGCAGCAAAATCAATATTAAGATTACAAATGCTTGATACAGTTAACATTCAGACTTCCATATGCATAATTTGCAAATATATTAGAGAGATGCTTAATACTTATGATTTTATATCGATAGACAAGGAGAGTCATAGAATACTACCAGATATCAGACTAGAAATGCAATGTCATGCAAGCACCAAAATATATTAGTAACTAGTACTCAAATAGCACATCGCACAGATCAGAAAACAGCTCAATTACATCAAGTCACACTGAAAATAAAAAGTACCTTCTTTTCTGTTCTATCCAGTTCTAGCATTGCCTGATCAATCTGAGACTGAAGCGTAGGATCCATGCCTACCAATGCTTCGGATATTTTCTCATTCACATTCTTAACAGCTCTAGTCACACTATTTCCAAGATACGATCCCTTGTCCCCATCTCGCAATTCAACAGCCTCATACCTGGTTTCAAAAGTAAAATCCCCCACCATGCATAATATATTATAATTTTGAATGGGATGGAGATCAAATAGCATAGTCCACAAGTGGCATAACATATATAGATACTTAAACAGTTTCTTGATTATGCAATAACAGTTCAATTTCTTAATCATTCCAAACATTTCCACACCCAAAGAAAATAAATAAATAGTTATGCAATTCAAGCATATGACACTTTAAAGTCTTATGCTTTCTCTTCAAACTATGTAGAACAATGATAAATATAGAGCTAATGAATAGTTGAATTCCTTAACGAATAAATTTTCTCAGCAGCCAAACAACAGAGAGAGAGAGAGAGAGAAACTTACATTCCTGAAAGATCAGAACTAGGAGCAGAAGCACGAAACATTCCTTTGTTAGTGTGGAGGTCCACTTCAACAGTTGGAATTCCTCTGCTATCGAGGATCTGCCGAGCTTTGACCTTCGTTATCACTGACGGAATCGCTTTCCTCATATGATTCGACTGCATTATTCATATCATAACAACAACAAAATCAGCACAAATCGAAACACAAACTCCCGCACAGCTCAAACAAAACTAATCAAAGAAACTACAATTGCCTTGTATTTTTCTATAATTTAATTACTCCCGCATTTTCATTGTCCGAGGAACCAAACAGAGGGAGAGAGAGAGTGTGAGTAGATTTACGATATAGAGGACGGGATCGGGGGCCTTAGCCCTAACGGCGGCATTGACGGCGTCTTCGATTTTCCGAGAGAGCATGTGGTTATCCAAATAGTCTTGCACCGACATTTTCTTCTTCTTTTGAGAAAAACTAACTCGATTTCTGACGAAAACAATGGTGGTTTTCAGATTTGAGCTCCACGGAGAGAGGCCGAGCCCTAATTGAATAAAAGCTTTACACAGTGAGAAGCTTATGACTTTCTGAAGAGACTGGCGCTGGCTCCGAATATTGTTTTTGAATTTTGAGCGTCTTCCGCTTGCTTCTTTTATAATCTCGGATGAGGCTTCTCAAAGCTTCAGGTCCCGGGGTATTACCGTACTACGAACTGAGAGGAGGAAGGTCTTGGATATGCATCATCGGCTAAGTGTAGCAAAACGCAACGTCTCTGGGTGTAATTCCCGTTGCTTTTGATTTTCGTGTTTATTACAATATTTTCTGATCTGTAATTCATATTTAGTTAGTGTTTGTAATGATTAAATAAATCTTTTTGGGTCAAATAATGATTTAAAATAATTTATTCTTAACTTTGCTGGCATTCCACATTCTCTTTTTTCATATTGGGTTTTTAAATTTTTATTTTATTTTTATGGTGTTGATGAAATTACAATAAAACTCATGTTTATTTTTCACATTGGTTTTTTTTCTTTTTACTCTTTAAATTTTCACCAAACCAATATGATGAAAATGAATACTCCGATGACATGAAACCGCAGCAAGTTTGATGAAACTTGCTATTTTTATAGTGTTATTTGGCTCTAGTTTGATGAAAGAAGTTACATAGGAATTGGAATGAGTCGGGAAACATAGGAATGGGAGTTGAGCAATTGGAATTGAATTATGATTTTTTTCAAGCAACCTACATAATTTTTTTATTCTGTATTAGTAAACGCAGTAGAGTCTAGAATTCAAATAATTCTAATACCCATGTGTTAGCAAACACGAGAGAAACATAAACTAGAATGATTCCAATACATGTTCCTGGAGTACACATACTAAATTAAAGTATAATTTAGCCTTTATTTTTCATCCGGCTACCTTAATTTCATTCCATATTTGTTTGCTATTGCACCTGTTTTCCATTTTATCATATCCTCCCTTTCGCCAAAGGGATATTTGCAAATCAATTTTCTAGATTTGGCAGAGCACGGTAGTATAAAAACAACGTGATTATATTGCATCATAGTACAAACGAAGAAATATGAGATGCTCTCTATACACGCAAGATGGATCCCGTGGTACAACACACAGTCGTATGTATAGCAAAAAATGCTACCAAATACCCCGTATACAAAGTTACAGAGTCTTATGCTACCACGAAAGCACTAGATGAACCTGTAAAGTGGCGAATCGATCCCACCAGACTCTTTGAGGCACCAAAATGTCTAATTCTGTACACCCCGGGAGTTGCAGACTGAGGAATTCTCCACTCTATGGTTGCCTGACTTCTGGTGCTGAGTTTGGAAGGCCTTGACCACTTAAACCGCAGGCAGAAATCATCGTCGTCATAAGCTGGAACCCAAGTATCCTTTCCATGGAGAATCTCCACAAGGGCAAATGTACCTTCAGTCATAAGGTCATTCCGAGGACAAGCTGACCAGAACGTAACCGTTACCATGTCATGGCCTCTCTTGAAGGTGGAGTTCTGAGGAACATCGGAGCTGCAGTCCCCAAAACTAACACCGCGAGGGGTTGCATCCATCACAACAGGTGTAAGTAAGCTTATTTGTTTATCAAGGAGATCAGGGGGTTGTGGACCCGGTGCAACAGGTTTGCCACTGGTGAGAGCAGTAGCAAGCTTCTTGAACTCCTGAATGTAGGCACTGAGTGTGTGTGGTCCATACAGAGTGGAGGCACCCTGGGAAGCATAATGGGTTAAATAATGAATTTTGATTGCACTATAACAGTCCCAGGACAAAACTGTATAATCATAATAAACACACCTATTTATGAATTTTGAACCATAACGCTACAATAGAACTTATAAAAACTAACTTAACCAAAAAAGAGAGGGTGAAATCAAGCTGTTCCCACAGGAGGCTGATGGAATATGGCATTTATTTTATTATCGAGAGCACACTCCTAAACCACTTCCTAGTAGGAAGAACCAGTAGTCTAAACTGGTTACTGAACAGACGTTCTGAGAATTTTGTAAGCCACCTATATGTCATATTTAGGGTGCATTGTTAGCTTACTAACAAGTTTTACGATTTTACGATTAATTTTGTTTAATATATCCTAGGAATTTTCCAAATTCTCTCTCTGTTAGAATGTATAAGCAATCTATAAATTCAAGAAAATAAGAACTGACCTCATATCTCTGCACCTGATACTCTTCAAAGGTAGTTACATACTGTGAATAAGTATTAGTCAATCCTGCTATAACAACATGAACATTTGCGCCATTACTACCACTAGTCAGTACTGTCTTCACAGCATCACGGAGACGCCTACCAGCCATTGTTGTAAATTCTGTGCGGAACAAATTCATGACAAAAATTTAGGAGGCATTCAAACCGTTGACCAGTTTAAAGTAAAAAAAAAAGGACTTCAGTGTGTCCAAAAAAGCAACTTTAACATATTAACAAAAGTGCTGTTTAGACACCTACTGCAATAACATACTAGCCATTCACCATTTGGCCCCTCTACTATTTTTCAAAATATAGGCTATTTCTAGATTGCTTATAATTATTAAAACAGAAACTCAGAAAAAAAGAAAGTTGAAGTTGTTCACACATTCAAAAAGTTAAACATTAATTCCTAGTATTTAGTTTTACGAAAGAAGAGTAAGATACTACCTCCAGGTACACTGAGAATGACAAGCTGCCCTATTCGAATGATCTGAATTGGAAGTATTGAAGGCTGCAGGAACAATGGAGAGAGAGATATAAGTAATCTTTAGGGAAAATATTATAGTAGTTCAGAAGACATCTACCAAAAATATTTTTCTAGCCCATAGAGAAAAACTCAAATGGCTGCAATTTCACGCCTATGACAAGACAATTTGGAAATTTTTTTTTTTTTTTTTTTTTTTTTTTTTTTTTTCTATGCAGATGGTCTCCTGAAGAATCCAGAACAGATGAAACAGAAGCTGTTATTTCCTATTGCTAATATAACATGAACCTGATATGAATCTTGCACAAGTTATGAACCTCAACTACAATATAATATATCAGGTGAAGCTATATGATTACACAGACTTTTAAATGGTATGAATGAGATACTATATGATCCAACTACTTAGGGAGTTTCATTTAATGCTACATCTTCGTCAAATGAAATATGTGATGCAACCTACCGCCCAATCATATGGTTCCTTCATTTCACCAGTATCAAGCAAGATTGGCTTTGGATTCTGACAATCCACTTGTTCCTTGCCTGGTGTTTTGAGTACATTGCGCACCAACCTCCAGAAGGCATTTCCCTGATATGACACAATAGCCATGCAAAATGGTCAGTTAGAAATTATTGTGAGAGCATAGAACATGCACTACATATGAAATATTGCATTTACATGATCATCGCCTTGCTTGAAATCAAAAGCTCCAGGTCCGTCAGTGGTTCCAGCAGCAAATCCAAACCCCATTGCAGCAGGGCATGTTTTTACCACCTTTGAACCTCCTCCCTGTTTGGTAAGCGTCACTTCAAGTTGGGAGAAGTCTATGTAAGCATGGCGATAGTCAACCTTCCCCTTCAACTGCTCAGATGCTTTGTTGAAAAGATCCACAGCTTTTTTGAGTTGCCTCTCACCAATAATACGTGTACTTTCAAATTCATCTGGGTAACTGTAACATCATGTACAAGATGCAATTTAGTATTTGCACAGGCATCGTAAACCATAGTCATATGTATACATGTCAGTAACAAAAGAAATATGGTGGGAAAAGGAATAAATACCCCGGTCCTCGGCCATAGCACAACTCATTTTTCCCACCACAGGTGCTGTGATTGAACTCACAGGGTAGTCCAGTGTCTGTACAGAAAGCGCCTAGAACATTTGGGCTTACATCACCACAGTTTGATTGACAAAATGCAGAAACAAATCCAGGCTTGTCAGCCTGCCTTAGTGAACCCCTGACACGTCTTGCAACACTCAACGTCCTGGTTGCTAGCTTACCAGGAGGAGACTGAAAGGATGCAGCAAGCTCTAGTAACTCATGGTCTGAAATCAGAATTAAAAACAAATTAAACAATTTCTACTCCCTTTCTTGTTGTTCTCATAACTAAAAGTATTATGATGACTCAGCACAACCTAATCTGGAAGAACAAACCAATCTTACTTCTACATCTTAGTTAGTCAATTTTAACAATAAATCCATCGTAGACTGTGGATATAGCTCCATTTCTTGCTTCACATTCCTATAAGAAGATAGTCCTGGGCAAACCCATAGTTCTGAATGTACAATGAAACCCAACATTTAACATTCAAATGCACCAAAGTCTCCTTCAGATTATGACATATGTTTATACGATGCACAGATAAAAAACAATCAAGGTAGAGAGTTGAAAGAGGTCAAATTCTATTAACATGCCATATTTCAAAAGACATCAGAATGATTTTGAGAATAACTCCACTTGCATGCTTGGTTTTGTTTTCAAAAGTTCTCTTATAACACACAAAGTTCATTGGTTCCCCTCATTAAAGGAAAACATACACAGGCAAGTCAGCCATGCTTAAGGTACACAAAATTTTGCAGTATCCGTGTACATCATATATGTAGTACAGACATAAGTTGGGCATCAAGCAAGCATCACCATGCAAAACTCTAGCTTAAAAGTCGGAGAAGTCGAGAACAATATTAACATCCCAGACATTCACAGTACACACACACACACACACACACACACACACACACACACACATACATATATATATATATATATATATATATATGCATAAGCATATAACAAAGACAGGCCCATATGCAATGCAGTATCTAAATCCTTGACACAGGTATAGCCTCTGCTAAGACAGACATCATTAAAAATTACAAAGGGTGTTGACATATATATATGTTGTAGTAACATGGTTTAAATATGACAAGTTGTTTCTGTGCCAAAATTCTAGCTC